CTGACTGTACGTGTCCTGGGATACTGTAGTTACATTCTGATGATATATGACTGTCCTACCATGGTACTACCACGCAGGGGTGGAGACAGATTTGGGATTTTTTTCCCCGTCCAGTCACAGCTTGCGCTACTACACCCTACGACACAGCAACGGGTGACCATAACGACAGCAGAGGTAAAATGAAACGGCAAAAAACTAAGCAAACTACTAGCAGAAGAAAGCAAGTCCTTACAGGCGCGAAGTCAAAGTGTAAACAATGGGCTGACCAGCTTTCAATATGGCTGCCGCGCAACGTGTGACGTCATGTGCCCGTTTCTAATTAGAGATAAAAAAAAAAAATTTAACAATTCTTTATAGGGACAGCGTTTAAATTGAAAACCTTTCATAATTTTACTGGAATTTCACAAATTTGTATAATTAATGATACCGATAACATAGAAAATAGTTACTATCTCGTTATAATGAGATAGTATATCATTATATTGAGTTATCATCTCATTATATTGAGATACTACAGTATCTCATTATATTGAGTTACTATCTCATTATAATGAGATACTATTTCATTATAATGAGATAGTAACTCAATATAACTCAATATAACTCAAGATAATTTTTTTTTATTTTTCTACAGTGTAGCGGAAACGGGCTTCCATACATATACATGTATGTTAATGGAAAAATCAAAAACATTTTGTATAAGTTTCAAAAACGAAATCAAAATCTTCTACTCATCTTTATCTCTGTTAGCTGACAAATATGGACATTTGGACATATAAAAAAACTATGACAAAATTTCTGTCTTTTTGATTCAGCAAAATGCTAAAGTTAACATGATGTAAGGAACTGTCTTGTAGCAGAATGAGTCTCCTTTTTCTTTTTTGTCTGTCTCTTTTAAATTTTCTTTTTTTTTCTTAAGTTTTGTATGTTTCCATAGGTTGTAATATTACTGCCTTTTTATTTCTTAATTTATCTCTGTTGCCATGCAATAGTTAAGTTTATAATATATGTTGTCTTCTCTTTTTATGTAAGAAAGAAAAGTTGTGATTCCTACATGAAAATGTAAAGTTTTTTTTTTTTTTAAAAGGGGGGCTAACTTCCTTCCAGTGTTGTGAAATGATACGGTGAGGGAGGAACTAAAGCAAGATGAGCAGGTTGTGGCATTCTCAAATCATTACAGGGAAGCAGCACAGTTGTGACCTGCAGCTCGTGCCGGACCTTCCAGTTAACAGATTGGAGCCTGAAGGGACTTGTTTGGAGTCTATAATGGGGGGCCTGTTGAGGATCGGTTTCTTGTTTTTCGGTGAGTGAAAAGCTGCTTCTGTTTAATGTTTTAGATCCAGCAATGTTTGTAAGAGCTTTTATTCATCAGGCTCCAATTGCCTGCATCTACTTTCTGTCCTTATTCATAGAGTTACTGAGTTTCATCTTTATTTCGCTTTGATGTAATGGCAATATGAAGCAGCAGAATGCAACAATAGCCTCAATAAGCTACTTTAAAGAACTAGAAACTAAAATTGACTATATAGCTATATATATTATAAATTAAATCTAAACCTACGGACCTTCATTGGTTTGCTGAACGTCCCAGACTTCTATCAAATAGTTCCTATAAATGCTTTTGCTTTAATATTTAATAAGTAACTTTATAAATTAGCTTTGGTAACTTTATTAAAAAATATCTTTTTGTGTGATTTCACTGTATTGTTCTTTCTACTTGAGGAAATATACTGTTACTCTTAACAGGCTAAAATGTCCCATAGGGGGCGCTGGGGCACCGCCCTCCCTAATCAGAAGAGATAAACGTAAAATATATTTTTAGAAATTANTGATCCAACGCTTGGTACATGTATACACACGTCATGATCGGATCATTTCATTTAGTGTCCATGTAAACCGAGATTTTGAATTTCCGATCAACCAAGGTTTGGATCGGATCAGGGAAATTTTGCGCATGTAAACGTAGCTAGTGTCTTGTTGGACGATAAATCCAATGTCCCAGTCTCAGGTCTTCTGCAGACTCCAACAGGTTATCTTTCAGAATGCTCCTGTATTTGGCTCCATCCATCTACCCTTCAATTTTAACCATCTTCCTTGTCGCTAAAACCATGATGCTGCCACCACCATGTTTGACAGTGGGGATGGAGTGTTCATGGTGAAGAGCTATGTTGCTTTTACGCCAAATTTAACATTTTGAATTGTTGCCAAAAAGTTAAATTTTGGTTTCATCTGGCCAGAGCAGCTTCTTCCTCATGTCTGCTGTTTCTCCCAGGTGGCTTGTGGCAAACTTGAAACAAGACTTTTTATGGAGAACTTTAAGAAATGTCTTTCTTCGGTAAAAGGCTGATTGCTGTCCAACGGACAGAGCCTCCCATCTCAGCTGTAGATCTCTGCAGTTCATCCAGAGTAATCATGGGCCTCTTGGCTGCATCTCTAATCAGTCTTGTCCTTGTTTGAGCTGAAGGTTTACAAGGACAGCTGGGCTTTGATCTGATACTCCATTATCTCTTGCACAGTGCTCCTTGGGATGTTTAAAGCTTTGGTAAAAAAAAAATGTTTTATCCAAATCCAGCTTTAATCTTCCCCACAACAGAATCTTGGACCTGCGTTGTGTGTTCCTTGTTCTTCATGGTGCTCCCTGGACTTTAAACAGACTTGATTAGACACCGGTGGATTCTGTTTATCATTATCTGTCATTTAGGTCAACATTGGATCATTGAGAGATCCTCATTGAACTTCTAAAGTTTGCTTCACTGAAAGTTTTGCGCATCACACTTATTATGGCACATCCCAAATTTTCTATTTGTAAAAAAAAAGTTTGTTCCAATTCATTATTTTGTGTCCCACGTATTTCTTCTAAAAAAAAAAAAAATAATATATATATATATATATAATTTTATATCTTTTTATTTGAAGACTGAAATGTGGTAAAAGGTCGATAAGTTCAAGGGGGGCAAATACTTCCTCAAAGCACTATAACTGTTAAGTATTTTATAACATTCAGTCTGTAAAAGGAAGAGAGTCTCAGCAGAACCTGTACTGGCATCCCTACTATTACAACACTGGAACAAATTGCAATAGTTTGTACTGGATTGCAAACTTTATAGGAAATTCCTGAAGTTGTGTCAGCCTCATTGTGTATATACTCTATCAGAACAGGAAACATTTCTTCAATTAAGCAAAAAATACAAATTAGTAAAAAAAACATTCTGTTAGGGTTCATGAACAGCCCTCTGTAGAATAAACGTTTGTTTGAAGCATTCAAGGCGAAGTTGCCCTTGCAGGCTCTCCAAATGTGGGCTCTGCTACAGCAGCTGCTGACTTGTTTCAGCTCTTCCTTATTTGAATGACACGACCAAGAGAGTAAGAGTTGCTGCATGAAAGCGTGTTTCCTGAATGTGACATGATGCATTTGACTTGCATCGCGCTACAGCTTGTTTCACCTCTGCAGGATTTTTAACTGAGAGTTACAGCACTGCTGACATGGCATTACAATTCAAAGATGCATTTTGGGTAAGTTCAATCTAATGATATTGATTTCTCTTGTATTTTAGTTACATTTTGTAGGGAGCTGAAGGGAAGTGTCACAGGGAAAAACAAAAAAAGTATTCTTGTGAAGTTTTAAATGGAAATGCAAAAGCTGTAAATTGTTGCCAAAGTTCTAATGACTTTTTAAGTTGATCAAATATTTTCTCTGGCACACAAGTTTGCTGTAACTCATTTTGAAATTTTATTTATTGTGATTCTGTGTGTTGTTCTGTTTTACTTTAAAACAAGATCTCACAAAAAGCAAAACCTGGTTTTCTTTACAGTACCGCTCTGTCCTCTGGTCCTCTGTGCTTTTAGGCTCCTGACATGTACTGAATCTCTTGTTCACCAAATTGAAGCTCAAAGGGCTAAATGTTGAGAACAGGCCATCAGCTGAGCTCTACCATTTTCCTTAGACTTGTATCCTAACTCCGATTTGCATAATGTAAAAATCTCATCACGTTAAGGTCCATATGAAAATTTCACATGTGTCCCGCATCACTGTTTCCATTTAGGATCCTAGAAGAGATAATTTGCCTTTCGCTTGAAATAAGTTATGACTTAAACTTATACATGAGTGAGAACAAAAGCCATTTAGGCAGATCACATTTTAAAAATGGAGCTGTAGAAATGAGACACCGGATTATTTTTCTTTGGTATCCAGGGCAACGACTTTGTCAGCAATGCTGGTTATGACGCTATTATTCAGAGACTTAATGATGGTCGGCGTACTTGCAAGGATGTGGAGGATCTCCTGAAAATGAGGTGAGTTGATTCATTTGAGGCAATTCATGTCTGAACTTGTAAACAGGGATTTTGATAGATGAGTTATGCATGCAGAGCATCAGCCGAAGAGAAATATGGGAAGGAGCTGGTCTCAATAGCTCGGAAGGCAGGGGGTTCAGCTGAGATCAGGTAGGTTCACCTGAGTGCTTTTCACAATGAATGCAGATCATTCTGAACACTTCTGCATAATATATCAGGTTTTCTGGTATTGCATAAAAGTATATTTTGTTGATTTATCCCAACAGCACTTTGAGAGCATCATTTGAGGAAATGAAAACACGTAAGAATACAATATTTTGGTTTCTCAAAACATTCCTTTTCATTGAGCAGTCTGTGTTTTCATCAATGTGCTTTACTTCATTTCAGAAATTGAAAATGTAGGAAACTTGCACATTCAATTGTCTGGCCTTCTAAAGGAAGAGGTGAAGAGAATGGAGGAGTTCAGGGAGCGACAGAAAGAGCAGAGAAAAAAGGTATCAATCCATTTTCTCTGCTAATAATATAACAGGGAAGTTCAATAGTTTTCCTTCTCACTAACGATGTTGAATTTCCTTTCTGACTAGTTTGAGACCATCATGGAGAAGGTCCAGAAATCAAAAATCTCCCTCTACAAGAAAACAATAGATGTAAGGTCAATTAATATTTCTATGATAATAGAGAAGATGTAAGATTATTTTGGGGAACCAGAATGACACACTAATTCTTTAACAGTTTTAGTCCATGTAGCTTCTGCTTTGATAGGCAAGAAAATCTGCCTTTTTTGTAGATTGTAATCTGTTCAGAATGATGAATTTCTTGATATTTAAGTACTAGATTGTTCATAAGTCCTGTTGGGTGCGGAGGAGGAATTAAAAAGCAATTACAACATAAAAATGCTGAAACGTTTTTTTTGGCAGACAGGAAGGAAGTGACAAGTCCTTTCTTAAATATTTCTTCTTGTGGGTGTGCATGACATTTTTTTTCTCCACCAAGCCCCCTATCAACAATTTTTCCTTTTGAGGCTTCACACTTAACTGTCTACCTACAGAGTGTAGCTGTCAGAGGTTTCAAATTATCTCTGTTTCCTGCCCTAACAGTCTAAAAAGTCATATGAGCAGCGCTGCAAAGAGGCGGATGAGGCAGAGCAAACCGCAGAGAGGCTGGGCAACGCGCCCACGGCCACTCCCAAACAGATCGAAAAGGTAAAGAACTTGCTACTCAAACTGACATCATCCTGGTGGGCTGCTGAAAGTCTATCAAGTACATATTTTTATGTAGACTTAGACAGCTTTATTGTCATTCTCTATACACAGAGTTTATATAAAACAAAATTTTGTTTTGTACATCTTTCAGACAGTAAATAAGCAGCTTAGCAGTGAAATGAACATTTTCATTTCATAAAATGCAGCAGTGATCGAATGTAGATGGTATGGGAGAAAAACATGTTGCAAAAGGCATTGATGTGGAAGTTCAGAGTACATTGTTCATTGGAAGAAATTACAGTATCATCAAAAACCTAATTTAATCCAGGAAAAATACTCAAAAAGTAAAATAAATACACATATTTTCATTTTCATTTAACTTCTATACAACCTGTACAGTCCCACTGAGAGAAAAAACAACTTGTTTTCAGAGGAGTCCAAGCCAAAAGGGTGCAACGACTATAAGACAAAATTATAGTTAAAAGGAAAAACAACAACTTATGAAAAACATTCCCAAAAAGTATAAAAACAATCCACTGGGCTATGTTTCCAAGTTTGAAGACGTATTGCTTCACACTTCAAACTTGGAAACAAAGTCCAGTAGATTGTTTTTCTACTTTTTTTGGAATGATTATGACCTGGATGACCTGGAAAAGCTTCCCCATTTATGAAAAAAAGATACATGTTATTGAATCAACCTTCAGAACGTTTGGCGGGGAAGTAAAAGCACTTAGTGGAATGAGTTCAGTTAATCTGAAAGTTTTCTGATTGAAGAAGAAGGGAGCTGAGTGACCAAAGGTTTTTTTCCCCCACCCTATTCATTTCAAGCAAAAGAAACAGAAAGAAGCAGCATGTTGTGTGAGTGAAAGACATATGAGTCAACATTTCTCAGGAACGTAGAGCCTTGTAAATAGAAATTAACCAATGGGAATTCCTAATATTAGCTAAGTCCAACCATCCCACCCATGAATATAAATCCCAATGATGTGTTGACATCATGCAACTTGCAATAAACCTTAGAGAAGTTGTACAGACAGAGTCCAATATCCTGAGACCCTGTGAAAAACCAGTCATGCACAAACAATCTCCATAGTCCAACACAGACATAGAAATGGTAAATAGTAGCTTTTTCAAGACAGGAGACTAGAGCAAAGTGATTTGCACTACATACAGTTATTTACCCATTCACGCACACACTCACGGTGGCACACTACATTGTAGCCACAGCTGCCCTGGGGCTCACTGACAGAAGCGAGGCTGCCGTAGACTGGCGCCACTGGGCCCTCTGACCACTATCAGCCGACTATGTGGGTGGAGTGTCTTTCCCAAGGACATAACAACACTGAAAACCAGAGCAGGGGCAAACTCCTGCATCCGACAACACTGTTGCCCAGAATAGTTGGACCTACAATCCGCATTCTAGCAGCATATGAAAACAAAAACCCAGTTTTAATCTTTGCCTTTCGATGAGTTTCCACATTGGGTTTAAAAGTGAATAAATGCGGATGATTTGACTTAAAGACAATAAAATTGTGAAATTCAGTTCCTCAGAAAATTTGACTTTTATATGAGACAAATTAAAGCTGATTCCTAAAACAAGAGAGGTTGGTTCCCCAAAGCCGGGCATGTGTACACTGCACGATTTATTCTATCGTTGCACGCAGCTACAGCTCACACTATACTATGAAACCACAGGATTTAAAAGTTTGCAGCTTACGATGTATGTTTTTACATCGTGTGGCTTCACGCTCTGGGTGCTGCCCTGGCAGTTGGTGCAATTTTGTGTGCTGGAAGCCCTAAAAAGAAAGGGTGACAATGTATTTGGACAAAGTCATGGTTGAGCAAACGTGTCTACTACGGTCTGTCAATCTTACAGAAAGAATTCCATTTCTCCATGGTTCTATGTTTACGTCTGAGAGTAAGAAGGAGAAGAAGAATCACTGTTTGTGCATGCGCACTGAGCGATTTCTCCACGAACATGTTAGAACGCCTGACTGAATTTCAAACATGTTTGATTTCTTTCCGACATTACAAATCCTGATCGGAAGGGGGTTGTGAGAGGGTGATTGCCCCCTTACACTACATGAAGCACGATCAAGCTGAAAGTCAGCCGGATCGAAAAATTCTCGTAAGACTGGAGGATCGGCCCGAAAAGGGCAAAAAATCGCACAGTGTATGCCCGGCTTTAATAGATGTGCATATCCTTTATCTGTATCCAGTGCTTAGCAGCATGGTTCTAAGTCCATTAACATGTGGAACGTCTAAAGCAGGCATCCCCAAGGTCAGTCCTCGAGGGCCGCTGTCCTACAGGTTTTAGAGGTTTCTCTGCTTTAGCACAGCTGATTCTGATGATTGCAGTTCAGCAAAAGCCTGTTAATCAACTATCAATGTAAATCAGCTGTGCTGGAGCAGGGAAACCTCTAAAACCTGCAGGACGGCGGCCCTCGAGACCGACTTTGGGGATGCCTGGTCTAAAGTGTTAGAAAACCCCTGTTAAATGTGGAAATCAAGGTGTTGGGGCCTGAGACAAGAATGCAGCGGAACAAAATTCTACTTGCTTTGTATCCAGTTTTAGGTTTACACAGTCACTGATGATTTAGGGTGTGTAGTTGCCCTTTTTTTCAGCTTTTTTACACTTCACTTTACAACATAATGGACTCTCTGTATTTAACACATCCCCTTGGGGAGCAGTGGGCTGCCACTGTGCGGTGCCCGGGGAGCAGTGTGGGGTTAAGGGTCTTTGCCGAGGGACCCAGAGTGGCAGTCTGTGGAAGTGGGGCTCGAACCCAGAACCTCAGAATTGTAAGCTCCATGCGCTAACCAATAGACCACCACTCCTGCCACTGCTAGTGTTAGTCCACAGGTTTTTCTGAAGTCCATCTACTACAACATTCTATAGTCTTTTCTGCTTCCTGATGCTTTAGTAGATTTTAGTAGATGCTGATATTATTTTTCCAGCTGCGAACTTTCTACCTGCCCATGCTGCCTAATAGGTCAGTGAAATGCCAGATCCAATCCACACATAGAAACTGTTGAGAGACACCAAACCTAGATGCAAATAGCAGAATTAGAGTAAGGTGAGTTTGCTTAATACCTCAGCAGAGCAGCGGCCTAATGGGCTCCATATCACAGTGCCCTGAAGCACTATTTATGCAAAAGAGAGAACAAACCCAGTACCGAGTGTGTATACTGCACATTATATGAAACACCTTTCAGTACGCCAGCATGCTTTTAAGTATGTTTTTGTTTGTTGTTATGTAAGATTTTACTAAACTGAATTGTGAGTTTTCATAACACTATAATTATTGGTGCCAATTAAGGAAGAGTAAATAGAAAAGTACTATATGGCTCTGTTTGAGTGGAATTTAAATGAGGTTTGTTGTGAATTTTACTACTGTAGTAAACTTTTTAGTGCCAGGCTGATTCACTGAGATGTACTTTAAGAGAAACCATTTATAGCCAAGTTTATTTATGCTGGAAGCTCAAATAGGTTACCTACGTAAGGTTGAGCTATATTTCAGTTGGATATTAAAAGCCTCTGTCAGCCCACAAACACTGAAAGAGAAGAATCATATGATCTACATTTCAGACATATATGTGTATAACAATAAATTATACATAGACTTATCTTTTGAAATGTTGACATGTATCCAAATTATTCAGATCACTGGCGCTTTGGAAATGAATCATTAGGCGGTTTATGATTTGGGAATACTTTTTTCATGCATTATATGCGAGCGAATGTACAATAAAATCTTATTTAAAGGCATAGCAAAAATAATTCCCTGAATGAAACAGAGCAGAGCAACACTTGTTCTATAAATAATGCAATATACGATCTTATTAAAATTAACAGTTCAGTGCAGCATTTCCTGTTCCTCACACTAGGCTGCTGCAAGCCTGAGAAACAGAATCTTTGTTCTGATAAAGCATTTGCCCTGTTTCCTTTGAGTTTACTTAAAAGCCAAATAAACTTTACTAAACTTTGTGCCATAGTTTCAGCTCAGGAAAATGCAAAAAATGTCAGTGCTGTGCATATTTATTGAAAAAATAAAAAAACAAAGAAACAAACAGCAGCAGACAACATACTGGTCCATCTTAGGACTGAATAGGTATCAACCGTGAATACTTCTTTAAATAAAATCCTCCCTAAGGGTCATTCTGTAGAGCTTTAATATGAGACTGTAATTTCATTATCCTACTATTTACATAAGTTCTCTAAATTTACCCTATTCATCTTTTAAAAAACAATATAAAAGTGAAATGTCCCCTTGTGGGAGAAATAAAGTTATTCTTATCTGATCTTTTCATTCATTTTTAAATAAACACAGAGAACTCCCACTTTTACTTCCTTCTGAAGTGAACTTTGAAACTGAGAACTTAATAAGGACGTACTATTATGTTTAAGTGATAAGAAACCAGCACCTGCTTAGTTTCTCATCTTTTAGTCATGCATGGATACCCCTTGACCCACTAAAGGTGTTTCTAAGTTTTCTTTCAGACTTTGACTGCCTCATTCTCTATCCAAAGCAATCATTAATGTTAGCTTAGGAATAGGAAAAATGGTCTGTTGGGTTAAAAGAGGGAAGGTGTGAATCTTTCATAAATAAAACAACCTGATACTGGACCTGAGTAATGCATAGTTCTTTTGTTAGTAATCTACAGTATGCCACATTTTTACCTTGTAATTCTGGGCCTCTCTATCATACCTAAACAATATAAATTCTAATCAATGTGTATCAAACTATCTCTATATTACTATTTTTAGTATATTCACGTATTTAACTAAATACGTTGGATCAAACTGTTTGTCTGGGATTTTAAAATCTTTGCTAAGTTGCTGTTCTGTCAGGATTCAATGCCGGTCCATTCATTTGACAAACTTTAATTTTCTATTAGTGATTTAGCAATGGTTTTAAGAGGGGGTATGTACGTACAGGATTACGTAGTAGGAATTCAAATATCTTTTGAGGCATAGGGTTGAGTTTTGAGTTTTTCATTATGAGTAAAAGTAAAAATACGTTTTTTTTTTCTTGTTTTTTTTTTATTAGGGTACAACCAATAGAAAAAGGACAGTTCTATGTGGTTATATCAAATGTGTCTGAAATAGTAGCAGAAATGGCAAAAACAGTTATTGAAACATGTTTACCTTAATAATATATTAGAAAATTAGAGAAGAAATGAAATAAAATAAAATATAAAACATGATAAAATAACTTTGTAAATACAATAAATACATGGGACATTTCAAACAAAGACACAACAGTTACATAAAACGTATTAGTAATTGTTCCTAACAATTTTATTGGGTTTATTAATGGTGCATAGGATGGTAAACATATTTTAGATTTGATTTTGATTTCTAATTCTGTCAGATTCAATCCTATATCGGTTTATCCTCACTAGAGAAAAAACTAACAATCACTTCCCTGTTTGGTAAAATAGTAGAACAAGTAACAGACAAGTATTAGTAATCATATCCTGTAGAAAATTATATATATTTAATTCAGTTGTTTTTTTATATTATTATTCAGTGTCAAAACCATACATTAGCATTCCAGTGTACTCCACTGGAGCTGGTCAATGCAATTTATTTCAGCAGCAGCCCAAAACAACTTCTGGTCATTTTGCATAATATTTTTTATAGCGATTAAACACAGAATAAAAATCGGTAGCTATGGGTTCCATTTGTTTTATTCCTGCTCTTACTGTCAGCCTTAGCTTGTGTTTTTATCACCCATATTCATCTCCAATAGCTTTATGACTAAGTACAGGAATTAAGGAGTGTGTCTATAGTGTAGTGAAATAGTACTGGGGAGTAGTAGTGTTTATCTGACTGAGCCATCAAAACATTGATATCATTACTTGATTCCTACTGCTAAGGGTTCAGAACTGCTATCATGGGAAGTAGTGTGGTAGTCAAGACCACATCAACCAAGACCAAGCTGTAACCCCTTAAGCCTGTTGTCGGCGGTGTCATGGTGGGGTGGAGGTTTGACAGGACCCAAATGCAGACACAAAAAGCTAAAGTGATTTCTTAAATATTAAATTAACAACAGAAGCAAAAATCCAAAACATAAATCCACAAAAAGTGAGGACCAGGAATACTCACAAGAAGGGGGCAAAAAAATGACGACAAACCAGCAAAGAGTGACTGAACAGGAGGAGGATATGTGGGAGAGAGAAACAAAGCTAATAAAACCAGGCTAATTAGCAGATTGGGAGCAGGTGTGAACAGAGGCAAGAAGGGAGCTACTGTAGGGAAAAGGAGACTGACACAAGAGGGCAAACAAGACATTTTTAGGAGAGACAAAATGGAAATAAGACCAATGAAAACTCAGAGATAAAACTTGAACAGAACCAAAACCATAACAGGCGGGCCCAACAGACAAAGGCTCATGTTGATCTATTTATAGAAGTGGCCAAAGCACAGTCATGTGGTGTTTCGTCCACATGCCTTTCAAAATGGGGGTTTAAAATTTCTAAACTATGTTTCAAAATAATTTTTTCACAAACACTTTTGGTTTTATAGCTGTGTAAACAAATAAAATGAGTTTTTAAAGTTCCATCTGACATATTTGACTCTGACTATGAGGGAGTAATGCAACAGCAGGTAGTCATTTTTTACCATACCCCTAATGACCAGCATCATTGGAAACTAGAGGCTCAGACCTTTCCAAGGAGGGGTCGGAGGTAATTGTGCGACCATTTCAGGTGATGCAACGGCATACGTTACATAAGCTTGCTCCGTTATTCTTATTTTCTATTCAGTTTGGTAATATTATTGTGTGTTCAATGGTAAACTTCAGTGAAACAATGGCTAAATCTTAGGAGTAAAGGCTTTGCCTTATGCAGAGGGTCTCCAATAATGCAAATCAGCATATTTGTCTGGCCAGATTCCCTTTTATCAATGTAAAAATTAATTTGGCACAATTTCGCCACTTTTGGCACCACTGTGCCAAAATCCCATTTCCGCCTAGCACACTGCCCACTAAAACCTTTGTGGAACAAACATGCTTCAACTTTCTCAGTCCAAATTTGCTTGAGTTATAGTCAAGATGTGGATCTGTAAAGTCTGAGGGTGCCTCCAGTTTCAGATGTGCTTTCATGGTGTTTGCAGTGTTTTTTTGGAGAGGTTAAATATTTTTCATTTTTTTTCTCTGTTTAGTCACCTATAAATTAGACATGGTGACATTTAAAATAGTGGTTCTGCCTGAAAAATATTACTCAATGCCTTTCTGTCATACAATTACAAACAAGACCGATCTTGTATCAAAAATCCTACAGGGAAGTGCATCTGGAAGGGGGAGCTGACCCACAGATCCCCACCGTTTCAATTCAGTTTATTTATACAGCGCCAATTCACAACACATGACATCTCAAGGCACTTTACATTTCAACCAGATCATACATTCAAATTGATTAAAAGTTTCCTGTCTAAGGAAAACCAGTTGATTTCATCGACTCATTGACACAAAGGCAATCCCTCACACTAAGCATGTTTGTTGCGACAGTGGAGAGGAAAAACTCCCTTTTAACAGGAAGAAACCTCCAGCAGAACCAGAACCATTTGGCTGTATATGTCCAGCAAGCTAATGACACTCTTGACAAATGACGTTAGCTTATATTGTACAAAAGGTTTACTACTTTACTGTGGAAATCTGAGCTTTAGTCACCTTTTCACATCATTTTAAAACAATAGCGTTCTAGCATTAGCTTAGAATGTGGGGAAGCTTTCTTGAAAAAAAACAGTTTTGTATTTGTTTTGTCCATAAACAGCATTGTCTGTTTTATTTATTAAGAATTTTCTATTACTTCGGCTTTACTTGACATGACAATGATAGTACCAGCACCGTGCTTGTTGAGTTTTATGTTTAAGCCTAACTTTGAAATCTCAAACCGTATTTCTTGTAATGGTTAAATGATTTAATCTTTGTCTTGTTTAAACGTACAACATGACAATTTTAGAGTGGAGCCTTGTTTCTTTGCTCCCTTTTTTAGAGCTTGACCTTTTGAGAATTGTTTTGGAAGTTGACTGAAAATATAATTTCCTGTCTGCTTTTAAACTATAACAGGCTTTTTGGTTCCTGAGAAATTGTGTCAGGGTTTTTTTAAACTTAACCAAAGTGATGAAACATTGGTAACTTTGAAATAGGTTACCTCCAAAAGACTTTCCCAATTTGTGTAAACCTTTGACTCCATTCTTACATTTAAATTGAGTTGCTTGTTGTGAATATAACCTGTGACAAAAAACATTTTTGAGCTGTCAAAGACAACTACTTGCATTGAGTCATGGTCAATCCCATACTACATGTATATTAAAAGGGTTAGTCTTATCCAGTCTAGAATCATTAAAAGACTTTCAGTATAAATTTAATGGTTGAATTTATATATTAATTGGAGATTATAACTTGACCCCTGTTAACATTTTAGATAAATTTCAGTTGAGTAGTAATCCAAAGTTTGTTTACAAATTTCACTAAAGTTATTTCTTGAATTATTTGGGAACCCTGAAAAAAGAACAGTCTTTCTGATGCATATCCAGAATTACACTGAAGAATTACATCAGCATTTGATTCAAGTGCGTTGTAAAGTAAGACCATTATTAATAATTCTAAAAAATTGTTTACCTTAAATGTAACATGCGGTATATCCAGTCCAGTGTGACAAAAAAAAACAAAAAAAACATGTTATATATCAGGAGGGATAAATCTACCAAAAAAGATGCAAAACTCCTGTTTTATGAGCAAGTAAAGACAAATTATTTTTTCAAATGCCATTTATTTGATCTCAGGATCAAGTTTTTTATCCCATGGCCATATTTGGCTAATGTTCTTAGCAGAAGTTCTTCAAATTGATCAGATTTTGAGGACAGCAGTGCTTAGGTCACACCCCTGACTTCCTGTCAGATTTATTTCTAAACACTTGCTGTGTCACTCCAACTACCAAAACTACCATCTTCTTCTGGTCAAGTCTTTTTTCTTTTTATTCTGCATGCTTGAAGTTGGCAGTGACAGCTTAAGGATTCCACCAATGTGTTTCAGTGTGGATGTTTTGGAGGGATCTGTTACCAACAGTTCCTGACTTACTTCTTTTGACCAACTAATCCTGACTGATACTTTTGTACAAAACGATTTCTGAATCTCATCCTTTATAGCCTCTCGATAAGTTCTGGCTTTAGCTAAAGGAAGCAAATAAGTCAACATCACAGATAGTATTTTTATTATTATTATTATCATTATATTATTTTAGATATTAGTCTCATGTGGCTGTTCAGTGGCGCAGTGGATAGCACTCCTGCCTTGCAGCAAGAGGTTCTGGGTCTTTCTGCATGGAGTTTGCATGTGTTTCCTGAGCATGCATGGGTTCTCTCCGTGTACTCCGACTTCCTCCCACAGCCCAAAAACATGACTGTTAGGTTAATTGACTTGTTTAAATTCTCCTTTGTGTCAGATAATGGATGGATAGTCTCATGTAATGTCACAATAACAGTAAAAAAAATGTCTTAAAATGATTCATAGTAGTCATTTGATAAAAAATGTGTTCCCTAAATGAAAATGAACTAGCATTACACAGAAAAAGAGGAAAAGAAAGTACAAAATGGAAACTTTTCAAGATTAATTCACAGTCCAATTCCTTTGAAGCAAAGCATAAAGAACTGAGTTAGGCATTTGGTAATTGTGCTGAGTAACCTTATAAAGAACAATATTTAAATGTCTTTTTTTTCTCTCTGACATTTCTTTTAGATGAACAACAAATCTAAGCAGTGCCGAGAGGCTGCAGTTGAAGCAGGTAAGGAGAAAGAGGTTTATTAATTTAAGTAAGCATAGAAACATATACTTTGTCAGGATCTGTTTTTTTAATCAGAAGTATAATTTTTATTAAAATAAATTTGGTCTTCCTAACTTCCCTTTTCTCTGAAAACCATTAATTTTCTAATATGCATAACATAAACCAAGGATGACTGAGATATAATGTGTCACCATGTGGTGTGAATTATCTTTAGAGAAGCAGTACAGGTCAAACATTGAACAGCTTGAACGGATTCGTCAGGAGTGGGAGGCGACGCATATTGAGACCTGTGAGGTAAGCTGTGAGACGCTCTATTGTTTTTTTTTTCTGTTTACTTAGAATATGCCTTTTCAACTGTGTGAACAAACACAGAGCTGATATATAGTGCTAGGTGTGTTTTCTTAGATTGGATATGAAGCATTTCCCCATAACACACTAAATAGTGAGTCATTATTCTGAAAAGATAGTTCCGTGCACCAGCTCTTCCTGAAAGTGATAACATCAATAGATCTGAAGCCTTTTAGCAGCTTTAAACTTCCCTATAAGGTTAGTCACTGGTGACAAAATAACAATGTTTATACTTGGATGCAAATAAAAAGAAGATTGGGGAGTTTCAACTGCATAATAAACATATTTTTGTACTCCAAATGTTCTCCAGATGTTTCAGCAGCAAGAGGAAGATCGCATCAGTGTCATTAGGAATGCATTGTGGGTACACTGTAACCAGCTTTCAATGCAATGTGTCAAAGATGACGAGGTGAGTTATTATAAGACCTGGGCAGTCAGGAACACACAATATTTACATCTCTTTCATGACAAGCTGTTTTTTCAGTGTTGCGAAAATGTCAGACAGTCGCTTGAAAACTGTGACATCATCAAGGACAACAACAACTTTGTGGAGATGAAAAAGTGTAACCCGACCCCCCCAGGTAAGGCGTGCAACGCCTACAATCTTTCTGCTTTGATTTGAATATGTTCCTTTCTGAGAGTTCATTTCAATATTATCTTTCAGCTAAGTACATATTACATCAGGGCTGGTACTTGTTGAATTGATTTTAAGGCTTTTTCTTCCCGCCACAGCTCCAATCGAATATCAAAGTTACTACGAGAATAATGCTTCAGTGCAGAAAAACGGCAGCGCTGGATTTGTAGAAGGAGTCAAGAAAAGGTTGGAGGATGAAAAGACATTCAGAAAATATTTGGACTTGTTTCTTATACTGTAATTGCTGTGGTTGACCTTTCTAATAGCTTTTCAAATCCTTTAGGTTTTCAAATCTATTGCCGGGAAGCTGTACATTTGGCTCCAAGCTGAACATCAATGAGGGAGTATCTGAACCTCCTGGTATGCTACCATAATTATTCAACTAACTCTAGAACTGCTAATAAGGATTTCATCCAATTAGCTGAATCCCACATGTTATTTCTGCACCTAAAAAATTTGACCAAATCATGTTGACTATGTTTTGCAGAATAGATACAAGTTTCAGCTATAAACATACAGCTAAAAATTGCTTTGAGGATGTGAAAACCACAAACATCATTTGCTCATTTCAGCAATAGATTAGCACTAAGTAATGCAGAACTGGACAGGGGTGATAGTGATGTAGAGGTTTGTTCTGTAAATGGTGGGCTGACTTTTAGAGACCCTGCTCTGTCCGTCTCTATTGTTCTCCTTGCTGTTCGTGGTCAGAGGACTGGTGGCACTGATAGAATAGCAGCCTCGCTTCTGTCAGTCTGCTGCAGGGCATCGGTGGCTAGAGTGTAGCTTAACAACATCCGGGAGTGTGTGAATAGGAGAATGAATGCGCTTTGGAGTCCTTTGACTTGAAAAAGTAATCTATATTAAGTACAAGCCATCTGTAAAAAGAAAGGAAATAAAAATAGAATCTGAAAAATTAGCATGCATATATATAAAACCCTTCATAAGTCAATACTGTACAGAATTTCTCTACATTTGCAGCTAAAGGTCTACCAACTTTAGAAACATAAAGATCACAATTTTTGCTGTTTATTTTGCAAACTCAGTCAGAATGAGAATATTTGTGAACATCAAGTCACACATTTTATCTCAGTTTTTTTTTTTTTTTTTTTTTGTTGGTTTTGGTTTTGGTTCTGTTTTAGTATTTAAACCATGCTGTTGTTGTGCCCAGGGGTCCCCAAGTTTTAGTTTTTAATCACATGTAGTGCGTTACACGTTAGTCAAAGAATTTGGTTCTGTTTTTTTTAGAGCAGCTTTCACCAAACTTGCTCCATACTGCATGGCTCCCTATGGGATGCTTTTCAGACATGAGTTTCTTCTTAGCATTCTTCCAAGTCCCAATTTATGTGGGGCCTGACATCCTATCTGCAAATCCTGACAACATCCTCTAGATTTCACAATTAAGAAGTATGTTGGTCTGTTGCACTCCTTTAAGGTGACTATAAACCTGCAGTTTGGGCAAATTCTCTTGTTATAGAATAGAATAATATTCAACTTTATTGTCATTACACTGTCACAAGCACAAAGCAATGAAATTCACTTTCTGCATTTAACCCATCCCCTTAGGGAGCAGTGGGCAGCCATTGTGCGGTGCTCGGGGAGCACTCTGGGGTTAAGGGTCTTGCTCAGGGAGCCAGAGTGGCAGTCTGTGGGAGTGGGGCTTGAACTCTGAACCAAAGTGCAATGCTCTAACCCCTATTCCACCATTCCCACCCAAGGACTGTCAGTTCAGGTGGATGACAAAGTATTGCTCACTTTGCTATTATACTAAATTCTGATTCATCATAAGATATTCAAAGCTTTAGATATTGATTTATAATATAACTCTGCATTGAGCTTCTTCAAAACTCTCTATCTGACACTGTTTGCAATAAGAGGACTGCTGAAGGCTGCTGCTTGCATTGGATTTTATTTAGGTGCATTAAATTTTAGGAAGGTAAATGCAAAACTAAGCTGATTTTTGTATGTAAAAACACATACATCCATGTGTTCATGTATCCATTTCACAAGTAAGAAGTGTTTTGTTCTGTTCAAAATAGACATGAAACACTAAAGACCAGGGGTCTGTTTGAAAAAGCTGGTTTACTGAAGACTCTTAAGTTTTCTAAACCTGAAATCAGGGGAATCACCATAGAAACATTCTCCCCAGAGTGTTCTCTGTCTCTGCTCTCCTTAGAGCCAAACACATTGTTTTATTTCTTGATTTAGTCTGGAGAGTTCTGTTGTAATTTTGTGCAAAAAATATTTAAAAAAACATTCACTAGGTCAATTAGACACATTAGATGTTAAAAATAAACATTACATGTCCCTTTGAAGTGGACTGGATATACAGTCAGTTGACTGTATATGAGATTTATTTGTTTTTGGTTTGTTTATAATATGAGCAACATGC